GTCCCTGTTCTGTAATATTTTATCCTTCTTTATGTATTTTTCAAGATCTCAAGATGAAGATGATGATTGGTATGGGGCATGAAGTTGGTGGATTATATTACCTGAATCTTTCTCCAGCCTCTCCGTCTCAAGCTCTCCAGTCTTCTGTTTCACCCATGCAGTGGCATTGCCGTTTTGGTCACCCTTCTCTTTCTACTTTAAACGTCAAGTTGTGAGTCTTCGTAACGTGTCTTCTCTTCACTGTGAAGCTTGTCAGCTTAGTAAACACCACCGTGTGTCTTTTCCTTTACGAACAGTAAGTTGCGTTTCTAGTTTATTTGTGATCGTCCATTCTGATATATGGGGACCAATTAATGTTTCTTCTAGTAAGTTTCATTATTTTGTTACATTTGTGGATGATTATTCTCGTATGATTATTCCTAATGAAAAATTGTTCTGAATTACTGTCTATCTTTCAAGTTTATTGCACTATGATTAAAACTCAATTTAACCAGAGGATTTGTATTTTGCGATCTGATAATGCTAAAGAATATTCGTATGCATCTTTTACATCATATCTATCTTCTAAAGGCATTATTCACCAAACATCTTGCTTGTATACTCCCCAGCAAAATGGAGTTGCGGAACGAAAAAATTGACATTTGTTAGAGGTTACTCATTCTCTTCTTTGTCATATGCATGTCCCTAAACGTTTTTGAAGTGATGTTGTCCTTACTGCATGCTATCTCATTAATCGCATGCCTTCCTTTATTTTGGCCGGTGCATCTCCATTCTCTTGTGTCTCCCTCTTCTCTACAGTATTCACTACCTCTCAAAGTTTTTGGATGTGTTTGTTATGTTCATCTCCTTGGACCTGGCCTTGACAAACTCGACTTTTGCTCTATGAAATGTATTTCTCTTGGTTACTCCCAAACCCAAAAGGGGTATCGATGCTACAGTCCTTCTCTACAACGTTATTTGGTAAGTGCAAATGTCACTTTTGATGAGTTCACACCCTATTTCTCGAATCATGGTACTTCTTCTGAATTCACTCAAGTCCCCGTTAATTTACCCGTACCATATCTACCTATCGGTACTTCTCCAGAACTAGACTCAACTTCATCTACTGCGCTAGATATGTCCTCCTCTCATAAGGAACCACCACCACCTTTCCGAGTTTATACTCGACGACTTAAGCCACCAACATTTGTGGCCCCATCCGTCGCCTTACCGTCTACAAATCCTACGTTTGCCTTTCCTTTTGATCCTGAGTCATTGCCCCGTTCTCTGTAAAGGTAAACGTACATGTGTAACTAAACATCCTATAAGCCACTATGTTACTTTTGATTCCTTGTCGCCTTCTTTTTCTTGTTTCACATCCCAGCTTTCTAGTGTTTTTGTACCTAAGACAGTGATAGAGGCTTTATCTGATCCTGAGTGGCGAAGGGCTATGGAATTCGAAGTGGCAGCCTTGCACAAGAGTCAGACTTGGGACCTCGTTCCACTGTCGGCGGGGATACGTTCTGTTGGTAACAAATGGGTCTTTGTCCCAAAATTCAATCCCGATGGAACTGTTGATCGATTGAAAGCCCGATTGGTTGTTAAAGGTTACACACAGACCTATGGAATTGATTATGATGAAACATTCTCTCTAGTTGCTAAGATGTCATCTATTCGGGTTTTTATTTCTATTGCTGCTAACCTTGGTTGGCCTTTATTTCAACTGGATATTAAAAATGCATTTCTTTATGGTGATTTGCACGAAGAGGTTTATATGGAGCAACCACCTGGGTTTGTTGCTCAGGGGGAATGCCGGAACTATGTAAGTTGAAAAAGGCTTTATAAGGGTTAAAACAATCACCAAGGGCGTGGTTTGGGAAGTTTTATGAGGTTGTTTTAGAATTTGGTCTTCAGAGGTGTCAGACAGATCATTTAGTATTTCATCTACAGACTAATGCAGGTTTTGTTATCTTTATAGTTTATGTAGATGATATTGTAATCACTGGTGATGATGCAGATGGGATTGCTCGGTTGAAGCAGTTTTTACAAAAACATTTTCAGACCAAAGATTTGGGTAAGCTCCGATACTTCTTAGGTATTGAAGTCGCTAGGTCATGAGCAGGATCAATTTGTCTCAAAGAAAATACGTGCTTGATCTCTTAGATGAAACAGGTTGTCTTGGAACTCATCCCGTTGATACTCTTATGGATCCTAATGTGAAGTTTTTGAAGGATAAAGGTAAATTGTATGAAGAAGTATTGTCGTTTAGTTGGAAAATTAAATTAACTTACTATCACACGACCAGATATTTCCTATGCAGTGAGTGTCATTAGTCAGTTCTTGGATGCTCCCCGAGCTCCTCATTAGGAAGCTGTGATGCGTATTATTCGGTACCTGAAAAATGCCCCATGTGTTGGATTATTGTAGGAGTCAAATGTACTTTTCTCGGTGGTAATCTTGTCTCTTGGAAAAGTAAGAAACAAACTGTAGTAGCAAGGTCAAGCGCAGAAGCAGAATATAGGGTGATGGCTCATACTGCTAGTGAGTTGACATGGTTGCAGCACTTTTTTCAAGAAATCAATCTCTCCTTCCACTCCTATTCCAATGTTTTGTGATAATCAAACTGCTTTACATATTACGTCCAATCCAGTATTTCATGAAAGGACTAAACATATTGAAATTGATTGTCACTTTATTCGGGACAAAATAATGAGTGGTGATATATGTACACCATTTGTGAAGACAGGAGATCAGCATGTTGATGTGTTTACAAAGGCGTTGAATGGTAATCGGTTAAAATTTCTCCGTTCGAAGTTGGGCTTATATGATATATACGCTTCAGTTTGAGGGGGAGTGTTAAGGAAATAAATCAAGTAAATTAGGCAAGAGTATAACTAGATATTATTGTATTTCCATATTTACCAAGTTTCCATATGTGTGTAATCTCGTTTTACTATATAGTGGAAGAAGAAGAAGGGGAAGATAATTTTGTCTTTCTCTCTATTGCTTATATCAACTCTCACATGAACTCAAACAGAACTATTATGGGTAGCGTCTTTCTATTTAGGCCTCTAAGGAAAAGGTGATTCGGGATTTCGGGACTCACCTTGGCGAACCACATCACTGTGATAGTTGTTAATTGCTGTAGGTTTTACTTATATCGGTGATTGTTATGGCTGTCATCCTTTATAGTTGTTTCTAGTGCCTCAATTTTAGCTATAAAGGTGTTGGATATTTCTATTATTGATGATTTTTCCTTGCATGTTGAAGGGTACTTTCAGTTACCAAGACTGGCAATTGGGGTTGAGGAATTATTGTTGATTCTTTTGCTACGTGGGTTTGGTGACTCCTAAGAATTCTAGTGTTGCGACGATTTTTGTTGGGTATAGGTGCAACACCGCCTTATTTTTTTAGTTGTGGGAACCATGGACCCATAATCAATTTGGGCAATTTTTTGAGGTTGGGCTCTTGGATTTTTTTTGGGGCTAGTGTGTGGTCTAGCATTTCTTTTTTAATTTTTATTTTTTGGGTTGTGGATGTGTGGGTTGTTTTGTGGGTAGTCCAATGCACCTTTTTTTGTTTCGACAATGGGTGATTTCTTTGACGCTATGTCGGTTGACGCTTTTTGTGTTAAGTTCATTGACACGAATTATTCCATATTTGAATTTCAATTCAAGATGTTTTTATAAGGAAATGAGTTTTGAGGTCATATTGATGGATCCTTTCAAACGCCTGAAAATGCTAAAGATCCCAGTACATGGGAAACAAATTGATGCTTCTTCATCATCCAGCATCAATTTTAGGGGATGTCAATGAGATGAAATCGATGAGAATCATGGAGATTGATGAAAATTATGACTTAACATACATTGCCCATTTAACATAATTATGTATATAAATGTATGATTGGTTATCATATTTACATTGGTACTTATTCCTATATAATGGAAGGAATCCTTGACGAGAAATCACTCAACCAAAGGTTTGTCATGTTGTGGTACCCATCAGGATCGAACCTGGCCGGTAACATTTCATATTCTGAAATGAGTATTGCAATCGTTCAATCTCCCAGTTCGTTGTCATTAAGGTGGTCCCACCTCTACCACCAGTTTTAGCTTTATCTCAGGATAGGTTATTTTTCCATTATTAATCATTTACAAGTTTAAGCCCCCCGCCCCCCTTCTTTCTCTCTCTTTCTGTTTGACTTTCTAAAAAAATCACTATTCAAAACATCAATTTTACAAAATTATGACCAACAGGGACTAAATATAATTGAAACAGTAGAAAAAGGTCAAGAATTTTGAAGTAATTTATTACTGAATGCCATTGGTTATAACGTGCATATTCCTCTTCTTATTTAGGCATTATTTAGCAGCAGTCCAGAAAGGAAAGGCAGCATTTCAATATGAAAGTAGGGAATGTATAATTCTGTCTATGCAAGATTATTTCTTTTGTTCATTTTCTTATTAATTAAATTTCAAATATAAAAGTCAATTTTAAGGCTCAACAACTACTCAATTAAATACATGTACTAAATTAGTATGAGGCTTCTTATAAGACTTTAGAGCAGTTTAGAAAATTATTTTATTTGATATTGTATAATTAGTTTAATGCTGTAGCTTCTAGTCACATAGATGGACTGCCTAATTTCATGACGTTTATTTCTTGTTTAAATGTATAATACACTTCCTGTGTACTTTTTAATTAATAAAACATTTGATTACTTGTAAAAAAAAATAATAATAAAGTATGAGGCTTCTTGCAGAACAACAAAAAGCACTCTTTCACTCTTTCATATTTTAACTGTGCTTTTGAAAAGATATATGGTGTTACTTGTCCGATCAATGGTCATAGAAAATGAGTAGATGAACTTCAACTCATTCTTTTGTGAATTTATGTCATATAATGTTAGACGGTTAGTATTATTCTAAAGAAAAAATGAATTTATATTGTTTAGTACTTAACACACTTTTATTTAATGATGATTGTTAATCATTTTTCTACTTATGATGGAACCGCAGAGGAGGTGTTGGTCGAGGACTGGGGCAAGATGGAGAAAATGGAACTGTTAGTGGAAAAGCCTGTCCGAAAGGGCTTTATGGGATATTTTGTCGGGTAAATTGCTACCCCATGCGTCACTGTTGAGATTTTTGGTGAAGTTCAAGAGTTAAGCGCTTCTCTAATGTCTGACATGACTTGTTCACAGTTGAATTCAGCTCATGTATCTTGATTGTAAACTAAGTTGGTCTCTCATTCTTTAAAATAAGCTCATGTATCCTTGTCCCCGTGTCGAGATTTTTATTTTTTATTTTTTTATTTTTAAGTCCCCTGGCATAGGTACTGTTAGGAAGAAGTCTATACCTCTGTCAAATTCCACAAAGTAGTCAATGTAATAACTGCATTTTTATTCTCTTCTTCCTTATACCTGAAGTAATTTGTTTGCTATAGAATGTGTTGCCCCTTTATTACCATAGCCTCGTTTATGTATTCCTCTATAAAGTCTATGTCTGCTTTATTCTCAAATTCTTCAAGTTTTAATGCACATGTTATATTGCAGGAATGCCCCCTTGGGACTTATAAAAATTTGACCGGATCTGACAGAGCCCTTTGTCGTGATTGCCCATCTCATCAGCTTCCCCATCGTGCGATATATATTGCTGTTCGGGGTACATCATATTTCTTTTCTGTTTGCTGCCTTTATAATGCATTACAATATACCCGATGTTCTTATTATGTCAAAAGCTGTATATTTTAAATTTAACATAACCTAACTATTAAAGAAATGGAATAAATCAAAACAAGTCTAGTCTAGTAAATGTTTGTTTTTCCTCCTAAAAGATGTCCAATTTTCCATCACTTCTTCAACAGGATAGAGGCATTGTTGTCAAAATTATGTATCCCAAGCTAGAGAGATTTCTATAGCAGTAGTTTGATCTGTGAAGATATTTCGAAACTTAATAATTTATGAAGGTATTTGTTCCTTTTTAAGTGGAATTTTCTTACTTTTAAGACCATCTTTCCTCAGGAGGTGTTACAGATTCCCCTTGCCCATACAACTGTGTATCTGAGCGATATCATATGCCTCACTGTTATACAGCCATTGAAGAATTAATGTACACCTTTGGAGGGCCATGGTTATTTGGTTTGACACTTGCAAGTCTCCTCATCATCTTAGCACTTGTTCTAAGTGTTGCTAGGATGAAATTTGTTGGCTCAGATGAATTACCAGGTCTAGTGCGGGCCCGCTGTTGCTCTCCAATTGATCGCTCATTTCCTTTTCTGGAGTCACTTAATGAGGTTCTCCAATTTCTGTCCATTTCTGTAGCATCTAACTTGCAAGCATTTTAACAGATTTGTTGCTGATTAGTCTGAAGGTGATCATTCTGTTGTATTTCAGGTGTTGGAAACAAGTAGAGTTGAGGAATCCCAAACCCATGTCCATCGCATGTACTTTATGGGGGCAAACACTTTCAGTGAACCTTGGCATCTCCCTCATTCTCCTCCTAAAGAAATAAAAGAAATTGTGTATGATTTCTATCTTTCTTGTGGTTATTTTGTTGAATACTTTTTTTTTTTTTTTATAGGCAAATTTATAAGAATCAAATTTTTGTTGAATACTTTTTTTTTTTTTTTAATAAGTAATCAAATGTTTTATTAATTAAAAGGTAATACACATGAAGTGTATTATACACTTAAACAAGAAATAAACAGCATGAAATTAAGCAACCCATCTATGTGACTAGAAGCTACAGCATTAAATCAATTATACAATGTCAAATAAAATAATTCTCTAAACTACTCTAAAGTCTTTATCTGATCATCAAAACAGCGTCCATTTCTTTCTCTCCACACGTACCAAATGATGCAGCCTGGAATAAGGTCCCAAACGAGTTTACTGTCCTTGTCGGGAAACTTTCTCTTCCATGCCTTCAACAAATCTTCCATACGCCGTGGCATCACCCAATCCATATGTTGAGAAGCCAGAGACAAACGGGCGCCATCACAATGAAGGAACAAATGGTCAACCGTTTCCCCATCCTTTCTGCACATATGACACCAATTTGTAATATAAAACCCCCTTAATCGAAGATTGTCCGCGGTTAAAATTTATCCTCTCACTATCGTCCATAGTAAAAATGCCACCCTTGGAGGCAGTTTACACTTCCATTCCATCTTCCAAGAGAATAAATTCTCCGCAGATCCCAATAAGGATTTAAAATAAGTGCTAACTAAAAAAATGCCATCCCTTGTCGGCATCCACCTGATGCGGTCACTCTCTCGTACCCTGATATGCACTTTATACAGAGAGGTCAATAGCACTGCGTAATCATCCACTACCCAATCTTGTAGTCTCCTCCCAAAAACAATGTTCCAATTGATGCTCCCGTTATGTATATCTAATACATCATTCACCATAGCAGATGGCATCACGGTAATACTATACAAAGAAAGGAATTGCTCCCTTGACGGTTGATCAGTACACCAACAATCATCCCAAAAGCCGATAGTATTGCCATTACCCACACCAAAGGTCACTCTATTCCGAAAGTCACTCCACCCTCGTCGAATATACTGCCATAAACTCACCCCGTAGGTACCCCGGCTCTGAACTAAACACCATCCACCCTCCAAAATGCCATATTTCTCTTCTATAATTTCTCTTCAGAAACTCTCCCTCTCCACCCCAAACCGCCATAACCACTTACCCAACAAGGCCTTATTAAACAATACAAGGCTCCTTAGTTCGAATCCTCCAACCCTTGTGAGAGAACAAACTGCACCCCAATTTACCAAATGAAATTTCCTCTCCTCTCCTAACCCTTCCCAAAGGAACTCCCTTTGGATCCTCTCTAGTCTCTTAGCCACAGGAATGGGAAATAAAGACAAGAAATAAGTGGGAAGATTCGAGAGAGTAGACTTGATTAGAGTAAGGTGACCTCCCTTTGAAAGTTACGTACGCTTCCAACCCGCTAATCTCCTCTTCACCCTTTCCACTATACTGTCCCAAATGTGTTTACTTTTGAACCTTGCTCCTAATGGTAGCCCAAGATATGTCATAGGCGACTGTGCAACCCTACAGCCCAATGTAGCAGCCATCCTTTCCACATTATCGACCTCTCCAACAGTGATGACCTCAGATTTCCCCAAATTTATCTTCATTCCAGATACAGCTTCGAAGCAAGTTCGTAAAGTGTTCAACGTCTGCGTCACAAAAGATCACAGTATCATCTGCAAATAGCAAATGAGATATCTGCAGTTGACCAATCTTAAAGCCCTTTAACAAACTTTTCCCCATAGCCTTTTCAACCATTTTACTGAATGCCTCCATTACAATAACAAACAGTAATGGAGACAAATGATCCCCTTGTCGCAATCCCCTGCAACTCTCGAAACGACCTTCAGGAGTGCCGTTTACCAGAACTGAAAAAGAGACAGTAGAAATATAAAATTGAATCCACTGGCACCACTTGGCCCCGAAACCACATCGCTTGAGCATATACAATAGGAAACCCCAATTCACGTGATCATAGGCCTTTTGAATATCAAGTTTACATAGCATCCCTGGAGCCCTTGACGTAGTCTTGAATCAATGCATTCATTTGCTATGAGAACGGAGTCCAAGATCTGTCGCCCTTTGACAAAAGCATTCTGATATTTTGACACCACTTTTCCCAGCACCTCCTTTAATCTATTTGTCAAAACCTTTGCAATAATCTTATACACCCCATTTACTAGACTGATAGGTCGAAAGTCCTTAATGTCCGTCGCTCCTGGTTTTTTTGGGATCAGAACAATAAATATGGTATTAGAGCTTTTCAAGAATCCGCTATATTGGAAAAAGTAAGCAAAAACATCCACAATGTCCGATCGTATCACATCTCAACAAGCCTTGTAAAATGCGAAGGAGAATCCGTCTGGTCTTGTGGCCTTGTCATCATTCATACTGAACACCACCTCCCCAATCTCGTCCTCCCCAAATGGTCTTTCTAACCAACTAACATCCTCCTTAGAAATAGTGGAAAACTCTAGCCCCTCAAGCGCTGGCCTCCAATCAAACTGCTACTTATAAAGGTTTTGGTAGAAACTCACCATTTGGTTACGAATATCCTGTGGTTCCTCATAAGTTACCCCATCCACCTCCAACATAGAGATACGATTGTTGCTCCTGTTGAAATTGGCCACCCTATGGAAAAACTGTGTACACTTATCTCCCTCTCTCAACCACTTGACCCTAGATTTCTGGCGCCAAGAAATCTCCTCCATCTCCACAACCTCTCCAGCTCGCCCCTTAATTCTTGACGTCGCTCCCTCTCGTCCCCTCCCAATCCTCGATTTTCCTCATTCCTATCCAATTCCTCTATTTCTGAGATGCATTGATTTTTACGCCGGTTAACATCTCCTACCTTCTCCTCATTCCACCTTTTGAGGTCTCCTTTTAAAGCCTTTAATTTCTGGTCCAACACATAACTGGAGGACCCCTTGAACTTGTAAGAGGCCCACCAAGTCCGTATTCGCTCCCCAAAACCGTCCACTTTAAGCCACATCTTTTCAAACCTAAAAGGCCTTCTCTCGCTATATCCCACATCCCTAGATAATGAAATTGGGAAATGATCTGAATACACCCTCCCTAGTCTCCTCTGAGCGACGTCCAGGTACTTAGCCTCCCACTCCACACTAATCAAGAACGATCTATTCTAGAATGAACAGGTAGCTCTCGATTAGATGACCAAGTAAAATCTCCCCCCATCAAAGGCATATCCTACCAACATATTCTCCCTGATAAAATCTGAGAAGTCCTCCATAGCTCCTGTTAGTCTCCCGCCGCTAGACCTTTCAGTAGGAAAGCAGACCACATTAAAGTCACCCCCTATGCACGTTGGGAGGTTCTACCTAGCCATCATACTTGCCAATTCATCCCACGATCCGCCTCTACTTTCATCGACATTAGGCCCATAAACTCCTATGAATATCTTACGAAATCTATCTCCAATATTTGTAAATGAAAGGGATAGGGAAAATAGCCCTTCACTAACCTCCTCCAACTGAAAGAATCTAGTATCCCACATAATTAGCACCCCTCCCGAAGCCCCCACTGACCCCACAAATTGATACCCAATATGATGTCCCCCCCCCCCATAAGCTACTTACAACAGCCCTCGAAACGGTCTCCAACTGTCTCCTGTAAGCAAACAATGTCAGCCTTCCAACCCCTTAAGAGATTATGAACACCTAACCTTTTACCAGCTTCATTAAGCCCCCTCACATTCCAGCTAACTATTTTTGGGATTATCTTGACGCATTGTCATCTCTCCCCATCAATTCTCTTCTTGAGTCACCACTCCTTATGTCATAATTAACCAAGCATTCAAGCCTTTTAAGCTCACGGTCACCCTTTCTTCTTGTCTTACCTCCTAGTGTATCCATCTTTTGTCCCCTGCTCGCCTCCAACTCCTCAAATAGTTGCAAGAGCTTATGTTCATACCCATCGCAGGACAGCCCCACCATTTTGCTGAAGTCCAAAATTTTTTGAAGAGCCCAGCTCGATGGTGGTGGTCTAATGTCAAGCTCACTCATTTCCACTATCTCCCCAAAGGAAAACTGATCATATTGTAAGCCCTCTTCTTCCACCCAACCTACATCCCTATTTATATCCTCCTTATTGGCGCCCTCCACCCACACAACTAGCGCTTTATCAGTCCTTGATTCCCCCTCATTTATAGACTTAGAATATCTCCTACAGTAGATATTCGTGACCATCGTTGCCAAACTTATTGCCCTTTGTTGTTTCTCAATTGCCACATCTGGTCTCTTCGACTCTAAATTCATCAAACTCGGTTCCCCTTCCTTGTCCCTTACTTCCACCTCCACCCCTCTACTTTGTACTTGGGCCTCGCCACTTGGCTTAACCATCACCTCTGTAGTGTGAGCCCTCTTCGATTTCGACTCCTTAGACACCTCATTAGCTACTACATTTTCGTTTGCTGTATAATCATCTGAGCCCATTCCACACGCATGACAATACGTCTACCTATAACCCATTGTCTTTCTGCTATCCAATAACCTTATTAGTTCATCCAATTCCCCTTTCAGTGCCTTTATGTGTGCCCTTATGTCAGCATAGTTTGCAGAAATATCAGACGTTCCTTCTGTAGTCTTCAAGAACTCCTATTGAAAAGCAGATAAGTGATATGATGTGGTTTTTGATAAATTCCAACGGTCAGGTTTTATAATTACGCTAATATTGTGGAATTGGCATCATTACAATCGACAACATTTGGATTTTATTCATTTCACTACCTTGTCTTTTGTTGGTAGATATGAAGATGCTTTCAACAGATTTGTTGATGAGATAAATGCTTTAGCTTCTTATCAGTGGTGGGAAGGATCAGTTTACAGCATCCTTTGTGTTATTACATATCCACTTGCATGGTCATGGCGGCAGTGGTGCCGGAAGAAGAAAATGCAGCACCTGCGTGAATATGTTCGATCAGAATATGATCATGCTTGCTTGCGTTCTTGCCGTTCACGTGCTCTCTATGAAGGCCTGAAGGTATGCTCTGGATCCCTGATGAGTTTGGCATTTAAAACGCAAATGAGCTAGCAATATTATTATTCAACTTGGAAACCCCTTTTGGTATTATAAACCCAATCTAACTTGAGTTTCTACCTATCTGTGCAATCACTATAGCCTGACTTGCTAGGCTGATAATGCAAGTGTCTGGAGAAATAACCGAAATTGTTTGAAGAACATATTTGGATAACAATTTTAGTAAAAGTATAATCATGTTACCAGCTATGGTGAAGGCATATTCTTTACCATGGATGTATATTATGTTAGGAAAACCTTCTCAAAGTATACTTTGACTGAGACTACATGATTGGCGAGCAAATAATTGATTATACAGTGAAATATGGGAGTGAGATTCGTTAGGATTCAGGAATAGATAGATTTAAGATGTAATGGATACCATTGGTGGACTTAACATTGGGTTTCAGTGAAGGCATCATGTCTGAAACAAGGTGGATAGGAGCCATATGTTTATTGTAATATCCAGAAGTAATATGCCAAGATAAAACTACCTGTTTTCTGGAAAAATGAAACGCTGAATGAATAGAAGTATCTATATGTAAAATTAGTTAATGAGAACTTACTGAGAATTAGCAGCTGCGGCTGACAATTTATAGACAATACTCAGTGAAGAATTATGATGTTCAAGTACATCTGTATTGTCTTGTGAAACAATAGAACGAAAAATGACTAAGACGGTAGCAGAAGCAATTATTAACCGAGGCCAAAATTGGATGCAGGAGGTTGAAAACCTTATCAGTTTGAACCATTGAAAAGTAATCCTTAATTGGTCAAATGAAACATCAAGGGACTAGTACCTTTCTGCTTACACCAAGTGAGGAGAGCTGACAAACACTGATGTCGCTTTTGATTCTAATTGTTTAGAGCGTGCTGAAGAGCTAGTCGCAGCATAGTGCATTCAATGCACTTTTTTTACTGTTGAAACGTGAAGATTTACTGTTCAAAAACAGAGCTGCAAACCTCAAGTTGCAAATGGACATCACTTATGACAATTTTTGGCTTTTGAATCCTATTTTATCTTAATTTCTAATTTTCTTTTAGGTTGTCGTTGTGTTACTAACCACCTAGTCTAAAAGATTAAATTATTAGAGAGGGAAGAATTTATAAATTTAAATTTTGTTTTCAACATGCTTCCTCATTGTGAGTAAATGAAAATAAATTTTCTATATCATTCAGTTACAAACAGGAGCCTTTATAGGATAGGTCAACAAGCTAAAATGGAAACAAATAAATATCCCCACTGAATCAGGGGTAATAATTTACCTAATTCCCATCCCACAAAATTAGGGATTTAGAGTCCTATGATTTATATTATTTTACAACTAAATCGGAAACTAAATAATATATATTATTTTCCACACTCATGACACTGCCAATTTTTAATCATTCAAGATGAGACAGATGGATTCACAACTGGGTGATAGAAAAGACTTGAACATGGATTGCTTTTGTGTTTATTATTTAGAGTGTTACAAGATATAATAATGATCCTTGAGTCCCTGATGGATTGTAGCATCCGCAGTCATCGTGATTACCTTGGCATATATAAAAGCCCCAACAGCACAGGAGAAAGAGAAGAGACTGGAGGAAATATTAAGAGAAATTCTTTTCATCTTCTTTCCTTTTTTTAATTCTCATGATGTTTCTCTATGTTAATTTAAAGAACAAGAAGTATAGTAGAATAGATATGTGAATATTCCACTGAAAATTTATTAGCATTTATGCGCATACTGGGCTGGCCCCTAATGCAGAGATGTGATTCTAAGTGATGCATGGTGATCTCTCATAATGATAAAGCTGTCATGAAGTTACTTTCCGTTTACGCGTTAGACCTCTTATATGTTACTCCAACACTTTGGTAACCCTGCCATATCGACTTCTCTGAAATAGACATGCCATTCAATGCCTGATATAAGTCCTTGACGCTAAATGACAATTTAGCATAAAATTAACTACAAGTGTCATCTCTAATTCTTTTTCCAGATAATTTTGTACAATTCTTTAAAATGCATTATTCTGTTAAGCGTTCAGTCAAGTTTGTGTAATATATCTAGCATCTTAATTTTAACTTACTATCATTCTAAATGGGTTGTGACCATACCTGTATCTGGAGTGAAAACTTCTGAACGAGTAACAATTCGCTTGTCCCAATACAGCATTTGTGTTACCAAACCTGAATTTGTATGTGATTCGTGTTATTGAGTACTCTGCATTTCCAATCTCAAATGTCTGTTCCTCATTTAGCATCCTCATAAGTCTGTTGCTTAATTAGCATCTTATGCAATATTAGTGCAATATCACATCTTGGATTCTAGGTGGTAAGAATTTTGACCTTGATGAACTAAATCAGGGATTTGACTCATGGTAAAATAGTTTCTCTCTGGATTTTTTTATGTGCTACTGTACCCTTCTCTATCTCTACGTACCTGTTTTATTGCTGTTTATGTCTTATTTCAATGAATTTATTTTTTTCTTAACCAACACTAATAATTTCTCTTTGTGCTGTAGGTGACTTCAACTTCTGATTTAATGCTTGCCTATGTGGATTTTTTCCTTGGTGGAGATGAAAAAAGGGATGACCTTCCACCTCCCCTTCCTCAAAGGTTCCCGATGTATATAGTTTTTGGAGGAGATGGATCTTACATGACACCTTTCTCTCTTCACAGTGATAACATTCTAACTAACCTCATGAGTCAGGTTTAATTTCTACTGCTTACTAAGATTAATGCAAGCATTGTCTAACATATGGTGTGTCTCATGGAGGTCCTGAGATCATCTTCTTTTTACCATGTTCCAGTCAGTCCCCCCAACAATTTGGTACCGATTTGTAGCTGGTCTAAATGCACAACTTCGTTTAGTCCGACGTGGGCATCTAAAGGCAACGTTTCATCCGGTTATCTGCTGGCTTGAGACACATGCAAATAGAACATTAAGTACTCACGGTGTACATGTAGAGCTAATTTGTTTTCAGCCATCAGCAAGTGGATATCGTCAATTTGGACTACTTGTGTGTGCCATAGAAGATGAAAGCACACATTCATCAATTCAAGGATTGGATAAATCTTTGTTACTAGAGCAGCACTCACAGTAAGGCATTTGCATGTGATTCTTTTGCTCTTTAGATGTTTCTGTTGACTGTTGAATTGATGATTTGGGTTCATTTGGCTTTCCTCTCTCTCTCTCTCTCTCTCTCTCTATGCATCTTTTTTGTGCAGATTGCCTGGTAACCGCTGGAAGAAAGCACTAAATCTTGTAAGAGTCAGTGAACAAATTACCATGCAAAAAAAGATATCTGGAGAAATTTTACATGCCAAGAACCTTCAAAAACTTGAAGAGAAGATACACATAGATTATCCTTTCTATTACATAATTTGCAACACTAGACCTGTTTGCCATCAGGCAAGTCTTAATGTATTGGACTACTTTAAATATATTGATCTTTTATCCTCAGAAATCATTAACATTTGATACTCGCTTCCTCTTTTCTTCCATTGGACTCCAATTGCAGGATCTTGTTGGTTTGGTCATCTCAATACTCCTTTTAGCAGATTTTAGCTTGGTCTTGCTTACTTTACTTCAGCTTTACTCCATATCACTGCTGGACGTCTTTTTGGTTTTGTCTGTTCTTCCTCTTGGGATACTTCTGCCGTTTCCTGCTGGGATCAATGCATTATTTAGTCATGGACCCAGGCGGTCAGCTGGCCTTGCACGTATATATGCTTTATGGAATATAAATTCTGTGATAAATGTCGTAAGTGGTTATTGCATTTGCCTCATTTTTGACCTTATCTTTTGCATTTAGTAATTCTTCTAAAAGTATTCGTGAACTTCTTCAATGGTGAACTTGATAACTTCTAGAGTCAACAATGCTGTATTAACAAACCCATATATTCTCTATGACATTCTAATAGCACAAGTTCTAATATCAAATTGACACCTCTCTTTTATGTACTCTGGTCTTGAAGCAAGTACTGAGGAACAGGTCTATGGTGCAGGTGGTTGCCTTCGTATGTGGAATAGTTCATTTCAAGACTCAATCCTCGTCAAACAAAAAACATCCCAACTTTCAGTCCTGGAATTTTATCATGTAAGTTACATTTTCTGGGTGCATGTTTATATAGTTGAGTTATTTTTCCTTCTAAATGATTGAATTTGGTATAGCTTTTGGAATCTTATGTATTTACATGGTGTTGGAGCATTGGTTCAGGGATGAAAGTGGTTGGTGGATGCTACCTTTTGGACTGGTCTTTTGTAAAAGTTTCCAAGCTCAACTAATCAATTGTCACGTGGCTAACCTAGAGATTCAAGACCCCACATTGTACAGCAATGACCCAAATGTGTTCTGGCAGTCGTGAAGGAAACTTCTGAGCCAAGTAAAAGATATAACTTAATTTTTCCTTTTCTTTTTCGTCGTCTCTTCATCTACCCTATAGAAATATCATGTCCAGGGAATTCATTTAAGGCTACAAAGAGTGGTTATTTCTCCAACTAGATATGCCTTGTGAAACAGACATACTTTTTGTGACGCCATTTTGTGCAGCAATCTCTTTTTATGAGACACCATTTTTTTTTCTGTAAAGCACTGAATCTAAAAATATTTTTGCATTTGAACTCGTATAAATCCTATACTCCCTGACTGCTGTTCTCGAACTGTCGGTGGTGATGCATAATTTTCTGAAAAGTTCTGTGATGAGTTTTTTTTCCAAGGGCCATGGATTTTACCCTACAAGCCCGTTTGCTCATTTGAATGTTATATTCCCTTAGAATGTTGCATAATTTGTAGTATATTTGAGGAGTTGGACTAGACATGATTAAGAAAGATTAGGTGTGAAATATTAATGAATTTTTAATGCAGTTAAAATATAACAGACATTAAAAAGGGTTCTTTAATATTGGTCTGTTATATATGTTTGTGAACAAAATGGAGCTTAAATGAAATTCATTTACATTAATGGAACTTGAGTTCATAAGGCTTTCTTTCAGTTCTACGCAGTTAGTTTAAGGAAGAGACGATTTCTCTGCTTTGCTTTGTTTTGCTATTACACGGTTTGGTCTGTCGAAATTCGATGGAAGATGAAGTTATGTTTTCTTTATTACAATGTACTATGTGAAGGTTTTAACGTTTTAAGATTCTTGAATTATATATATGTGGTCTTTTCAAGTTAATTGTTCCAATGGTTACTGAACTTAGGTTCATGTCTTTGATTAGTCATTGAAGTTTAGAATATCAAGTTTTGGTTACTGAATTTAGGTCCATGACTTTGATTGCTCACAGGAGTTTAGAATTTCGAGTTTTAGCTACTGAACTTTGAAAAATATTGTAAGTTACTCACTGAAAACTCGACATTTTTCAATATTCAATATTTACGCTAGTGAGTAATGTACGTTATTTTTCAAAGTTAAGTGGTCAAAATTCGACATTTTAAATTTCGGTGAGCAATCGAAGATATAGACCTAAGTTCAATAACTAAAACTCGACAATTGAAATTTCAGTGACCAATCAAAGATACGTACCTAAGTTCTGTGGTCATTGGAACAATTAACTCGGTCTTTACAGATACTTTTGAATAGTTAATTTGTCACTTTACTCTTCGTATTAGAAATATTTTCTACTTTATTTTGTCCAAGGTTCAACTTTAAGACGATATTATTTAATGAGTTCTTTAGTTTATTTTAAAAATAAATTTTCGAAATTTAAGCAAATTCCCCACTTATGTAATTATACCAAAACATTACTTATTTTTCGATGTCATATTTTATTGCACTATTTTATTTAAAACCTTTTAAATGACACCACCACCAAGGAAATTGATATAATACTTGATTGGGCAGAACAAAATATTAAAAAACAGAAATTTATGTATAATTGATGCTTTTAAAAATTTATCATTCTACCTATACGTTACGTAAGGACAACTAAATATTGGAGAACAGAATTGGGCCGGGGACGATAGAATATAGAATTGAATTTTCAATTGACAATAATTTTGTTTGACTTTTGGCAAGTGTGTGTGTGTGTACACACTTTTCCTATATTGCACATATATTTAAGAATTAATAATACCATTTTCAAACTAACGTTATCTTTAAATACCTAATTTTATATTTAAATGGCAACATAAACTAATTTTGTACAAATTAAACAAAACAACCTCGTCTATGAAATTGGGGCACTCTAAAATTCATTTGAAGGTAACAGAGAATACGATGGTTTTCCTAACAAGGACATAGACGATGGAATTTATCTTCCGTCTAAGATCATGAGCAACTTTGAAATAAGAAATTAGAAAAGCGTATTCTTAGACGGAAAAACGAGTGTTTTACTAGAGTCATAATATTGACACAATTTGACTCGAGAGTTGAGATGTCATAAGCATTCCGGAAAATTTATATGGCACTCAAAATTGTTGCAAAAAATATTCATCAATATAAAAAACAGAAAAAAAAATTAAAAATTAAAAAAAGAAAAGAAAAGAAAAGAAAAAGTGACCAACTATTTGTTCTTTAAATAATATTTTTTGGGTGTGTACTATAGTTGGAAAGTGATTTTTATTATATTAATATTTTCCAACAAACTGGCCAATAATATAGTTGGAAAAATGATTCCATCTCTTTTTATGGAGGAGAAGATACTCCAACCCCACTTACGTATCTGGACTGATAATGCCTTAGTCATACCCCCATAAAATCAACGTTGAAATTCTCAAATATCGCTCTCTACATATCTTTCACACACAAACACACACAGCCTGAAAGTTGCAATGGAGAAGCAAGACTTAGAATTCCCATTTATGAGCAGTGATGATTTTGCAAGGAGGAAAAGATGGAGCAGAGCCCTTTGGTTTCTTCTTGGAATTATAGCGATAGCATGTAAGAATTTTCTTAGCTTCATATTTCCCATTTACAGTGAATTGTCTTGATATTTTGAGGAGTTTAAGGAATTTTGTCAAAGATGGGTTGTTGGGTTCTTCAGATTATAGGAATTTTTTCTGTAATTTCTTTATGGGAAATATAATAGTTGTGATCAATAAGACTTAATTTTTTATCAAGCAAAGAATCGTGTAGATGTAATATTTGATCAAGCAAAGAATTTTGATTTTGTTCTCATATATTTGTCTGATGGTGAAAACAATTTATGTTTTCTTGACTTTTATGAAGTGTTAATGTGAACAATATGCTGTACCAGAAGTAATTTCTTAGAGTTGTGCTTTTTGTCTGTAATTTAGCTGTAGGCCTTGCGATCAAAGGGGATTTGAAATTTTTGGGAGTGAGAAATGATGGCAAATATAACGGAAGAATTCGGATTAGCAATAGTGACATTGTTGAATCACAGAAAGCTGTTGTTGCTGCTGATGATGGTCGATGCTCTGAAATCGGCATATCCATATTAAAAATGGGGGGGCATGCTGTTGATGCCACGGTTGCTACCGCACTTTGCCTAGGTGTGGTTAACCCGATGGCGAGTGGAATAGGAGGTGGAGGTTTTATGGTGGTTCTATCTTCATCGACATCAGATGCCCAAGCATTTGACATGAGGGAGACTGCTCCGGCTGCTGCTTCACAAGTTCATATTCTTTGCTTTTGATTTGCCACATTATAATTATAATTCTAACTCTGTTTATTAGATTATAAATGTCATAATGTTGGTTACACCACTATAAATTCGTGTGATTAATTTCTTTTTGGTTTATTATTGCTCTTGGAGGTGGGGAATAAGGTTTAACTGGTAACACATAAGAGATCAATCATGTTGTTTCAAGTTCATCATAGAAGTTTAATAGCATGTTCGGCAAAAAAAGGTTCTAACTTATAAGCTAGAGACCAGCAAATTGTGTGGTCCAAAATGCACACAACTAGCTTACAAGCCTGATAAGTTGGGAACTAGATTGTATGCTGTGGGACTCACAGTGTGTGGATTTTGGACTACACAATTCCTGGGTCTCCAGCTTATAAGCAAGCACCTTTTTTTGCCTAACATGCTATAAATTGGGGTAGTAAAGTTGCTCGAGTGTCTTTGATTTATCCTTTTCATCCAATAATTGTTTCTTTCTGCAGAACATGTATGACAATAATGCAGAGGCCAAATGTAAAGGAGCACTGTCAATGGGCGTTCCTGGTGAGGTAGCTGGACTTTACATGGCCTGGTTGAAATATGGGCGGTTGCCTTGGAAAACTTTAGTTCAACCTGCTATCAAATTTGCCAAACAAGGATTCGAAGTTGCTCCATATTTAGGATCTGCAATTGCTAAAAATGAAGAATTGATCATGACTGATCTGGGCTTACGACAAGTCTATGCACCAAAGGGTAAGCTGTTAAAAGCTGGCGATACATGCTACAATGTAGAACTTGGGAACAGCTTAGAGGCAGTCGCTGAACAAGGCCCTGAAGCGTTCTATAAGGGGAAAGTTGGTGAAAAACTGGTTGAAGATGTGAGAAGAGCAGGTGGAATTTTGACAATGGAGGATTTAAGAAATTACAGAGTGGATGTTACAGATGCAGTTGCCGTCAATGTTATGGGATACCGAATATTAGGAATGCCGCCTCCTTCAAGTGGAACGGTTGGGCTTTCTCTGGTGCGTGTTTTAGACTTTAAATGACTTGAACTACTGCTAAATTCCGAGATAGTAATTGATCCTCCCCTCGCTCTCTCCTTAGTCAAGTTCTTTTTTCTTGTAAAAAAAAATAAAATTCTATGGGAAATTATTTAGAGATTGGACAGTTAGAAGTTGAGTTGATAGTATCTTATTGCATAGTGTGAAGCATTGGTATTATAATTCCTTAACAAAGCAGCATCTTGTCGACTGACCATTTCTTGTCGATGAAAATGCAGATTTTGAACATTCTAGAAAGTTACGGAAGTCCTGATGCTGTGAAAGGTCCTTTAGGTCTTCATCGTCTTATTGAAGCACTGAAACACATGTTTGCTATCCGAATGTACCTGGGAGACCCCCATTTTGAAAATGTTGATGGAGCGGTATCCGACATGCTTTCCCCAGATTTTGCTAAGAGCATTCGGGAAAAGATATTTGACAACACGACTTTCCCTCCCGAATATTATATGTACAGGTAGATCTCCTAAGACTGACTGTTTCTTAGCTTTACAACTTTAGAGCCTCCTCATCTAAAAACATAAATTATTAGAGATGAAGTTTTTATTTATTTGAATTTAGTCTTTGCACGCCCCCTCAGGTGCATAAGGCATGATATGTGGATAAGTTTTATAAATGGATGGTGGCAAGACTTTAGAGAGAGAACGTGATTATTTATTTAAATTTAGTCTTCAACAATTAACAATGACACTAAAGAATTTGATCTGTCCAGGTGGAATCAGCTTAGGGATCATGGGACGAGTCACTTTGGCGTTGTGGATTCAGACAGAAATGCTGTATCAATGACAACCACAGTGAACTATCCTTTTGGAGGTGGCGTTCTCTCCCCTTCGACTGGTATTGTGCTCAACAATGAAATGGATGATTTCTCGACGCCAACTGAAACATCTCCTGACAGACTCCCTCCTGCTCCAACCAACTTTATTAGACCAAACAAGCGACCATTATCGTCCATGACCCCCATCATCGTCCTCAAGGTATGGTTTTATACTTAATTACTAGTGCTTATAGATCTTATGATAAGTAGGTTCATCTATTCG